TGTATTTGGTTAAACCCAAAAAAGGAACTACAATGAAGAAAATAGGTATTACAGCCTTCAGGCTGCCCTGAAGCCAAAGGCGCCTTCCGGAGCATCCGCATCAGCAAGTCCGTAGCGGACTCCGAAATGCCTCGCAGCGTACTCGCAGATGCTGCTCTCTTTGGGATCGTAGCCCTAAGCCTCAGCCCTAGAAACCCTAGCCCTAACCCATATAAACCCTAGAAGCCCTAACCCTAAACCCTAAACCCTAAACCCTAGAAACCCTAAACCCTACCCCCTAGATCCTTCTTTCTTGGGATCGTAGGGACCTCATACGTCTCAAAAGTCTCCTTGCGGGATATATAGGGGAAACACAAACCCTAAACCCTGAAGCCGCCGTCCCCTGTGCCACAGACGTTCGGCATTAGAGTAATCTTACAATCATATTATTAGTATAAAGCAGCGTGATACTGTTGATGATATAAATCCTGCATTACCTTTATAAGGACCCTAAACTATGGGAACTATAACGCATTTTCCTTAGTATGGGCAATGCAGGATATATATCATCACCCGTAGTCTACCCATAGGCCCCATAGTAGTTCCTTTTTGGGATTACCTTATAGGATTCTAAATATGACCCCCAAAAAGGAACTACCATGGGGCCTATGGGTAACCCTAAACCCCAAACCCTAAACCCTAAACCACAGACCCCAAACCCTAAACCCTAAACCCAAACCCTAAACCCTAAACCCTGTATAGTTTCGTATATCACAGGACAGTCGAGTAAACACCGCGCGTCAGACGACCAGAGCGCCTTCCAGGTGGGGTTGAAGCTGCAACTCCTGGTTTGGGGTTTAGTGGTTAGGGTTTAGGGTTTTGGTTTAGAGTTTAGGTTTAGGGTTTTGGTTCAGGGTTTAGGGTTTAGGGTTTAGGGTTTAGGGTTTTGGTTTAGGGTTTAGGGTTTAGGGTCTGGCAAAGGAACGAAGTGAAGAGCGACTGTTCGAATGCCGATGCCGATGCAGGTATGTCAGCCTCACAATACGGACCTTCTATGCCGGAGCCCGCAGCAAAGTAGATGTTCGCGGCAGAATTCGCCAAAAAGCTGAAGCATTCGGAGCAGTTCGAGCGGAGATCCCAGAGAAGAGTCGAAGAAAAGGCCCATCATGAGAAGCATGCTCGGAAGGAGCAGGAGCCTCACAAAGCAATGGGACGGTTGAAAACATGAAAACATCAGTTCGTGACAAATACCGCATTTACAGTCACCGCACGGTGCGAGGTCGCATGCCCACCCTTTTCGCACCCCTTGCCATCAGTTCAAAGGAAAACAAAAGACTCGGCGGCCTTCACAAATCTGCTTTCATGCTGGCTGTTGGACATCTCTAGCAAAAGTACGTCCGCAGATGACACGATGAGAAGAACTATCGATCTAGGGCTAAGCTCATGTCCGCATAAAACACGAGCATCACGCGTCTGTCGGCTGCCACCCTCTGAAGATCCGTTGACAAGCAACTGGGAAGTGCACAAGCAGTACCCCCGCAACGAACTCGTGCCTCAGAATACTTGTTTCTTCGGTTCGTGCCCTCTACACCCAAACAGAAAACGAGGCTGTCCTCTTCCAGCACACCCTTCTTCAGCTTCTCCCACTGATTGGGATAATGAGTGACGTCTTCCAGTCGAGCTGCTTCGTAAACGAAGGGGATGACGCCTCATGCCGACAGTACAGCAATGGTATGCTATGCTTAAGCGAGCCACATTCTTACATCACACTGAAGCATCGCACTTGCTACACGGGACGAGCATAAAAAGCAAGTGCGTGCATGTACGAATACATGAGGGACTCAAGGACTCTTATGAAAGTATGAAGACATGAGTGTCTGTATGCATTCATGTATGTATGTATGCATGTATGTATTCATGTGTGTACGGTGTGCACACACACATTCATTCCTGAAGTTCTGAGTTGCACATAACTTGCAAGTGTGAAGGTAGACGTAGATGTAAAAATACACGAACGTATACATGTAAAATATAGCCATGCGTACATGCCCTAAGATTGCAGACACCAGTATGAAGCACAAGCACAAGTGCGATAAGTATATTACGTGTTGTACATGTATGAAGCGAGCAGACATGCATACCTACACACACACCCGCCGAACAACAAACACTACGAGTTGATGTCGCCACTTCAACTGCAAACCGTCACTGTCTGTAACAACACTGTGCGAATCGCATTCGCGAGTTCCCCGACCCCTCAGGCCGCACGCCCCAAACTGGTGAGGGTTTGGGGTTCTCAGACCCGCCAAACAAGCAGGATACGGATACATGAGAACCAGCAGAACCAGCCAGAACATGGCGTACCCCTCCTTGTTGGTACACCCTCGAAATTCTATCGCGACACGCAGTCTGTAACAGATGTGGCAGGTTTTGGGGTCAAGGGACTCTCCCGGGTGTGGCGTGGCGGGTTTAGGGGTTCAGGGATTTAAGGGTTTATATAGGGTGGAGGGTCGAAGCCGAAGGCTTGGAGCACTGATAGCCCTGAGCCCGGAAGCCCCGCACAATGGGACAAAGAGCATCTTCTTGCATTCCATAGATGAATCCAAACTCCTTCTGGAGAACGAAATAACAACCACCATCGATTTCGATCGCAAAGACGTCAGACACCTGGCCTCCACTCAGAAGCTCAAAGAGTGTGACCTGAGTTTGTCACAGCAAAGTTGTACCCAGGCCCCACTCCCACTATCCGAATATCCTATAAGCCTTGCCGTCAATCTGAACACTGAGGACGGCTCTTGTGTTGCAACCCAAACGTGAGCCGAGCGATCCCACGAGATACAGCGGAATCCTATGCACTAACGCTGGAAACCCCACCAAACTGTGCAAAACCTGGATGCTAAGCACCGGTCTCCAACCACTGAGGTAAGGCTGAACGAGAAACAGAAAAGTTCCTCTCGGGCTTCCTAGCGCAGCTCAGCCGCCCCGAGTGACCATATGTCTGCTGGAAAGCTGATCTCACCTTCGGGTCGATTTGAGGTGTGTTGTTGCAAACCCTGCTCGTCCACTTTCTGAGGCCCCATTTTGGCATACTCTCAGTGTTTGGGAGGCCAAAATAACTGCAATCTAAGAGGAATCTGCTCCTGAATTTGTCAGTTTCCGACTTTGGTCAATCCCCATACTGAGTCAGCTTTGGTTAGCTCAACACAGATCAGCAGGGCAAGTGCAACGAAAAACTGTCCAGGGAAAACTCTGACTGACCCAGAACCCTTCGCACCAAAGCTTCGCAAGGCACAGTACAAAGAGTCAGAAAACAGTACAAAGAGTCAGAAAACACAAGGTTTAAGGTTTAAGGGTTTAGGGTTTAGGACAAACACAAGCAGCTGCGACACCCTTAGCCCTACATCCTAGACCCTCACACCCCCAAACCCTAAACCCGAAATCCCAAGCCCTACACCCTGTGTAGATCCCAATACCCGAAATGCTAGACCCTTAACCGACATCCGAAATGCTAAACCTTAAATCATCCCTAAATCCTAGACCCTGAAGAATCAAAAAAACACCTGCGATGCTTCCACAGGCCCAAGCATTTTGGAACGGCAGTGCTAGACAAGTGCGAGCCCCCTTCAAAAACAATTGCTGTTTATAAGGGCTCTTGATCAGTATGTATAAAGCGAGAAGAACGGCGTTGATAGGGTTTAGTGGGTTTGTCTAAGGGGCCGAAAAATCAAAGAACAAGAAGGGTTCCGTAAAGGGTTATCCTGAAGGGTTGAATGAGGGTTACTATAAGTGTTCTGATCGGGTTTTATATGCGTGCCTTCACAATCAGAACATGACGACGACGACTACTACTACCAACTACCCGGTCCCCTACCTTCGTAAATTGGAGCCTTATCTGCACCCGCCGCATGCAAAGATCGGTGCCAGAGGACCCCCATAACTGAAGATTCAGGGCAAGAAGCCAGCCAAGCCCAGTGTTGTGTGGCCTTTCAACGAGGCAACGAGGGCCTCCCAGGCTGGCTTTGACTGCTGTGCGGCTTTGATGGCTTCGTTGCTGTGCATAAGAGCCTGCGGGCTTCTAGGACAATTACACCCTGAACCCTAAAAACCCTTTTGCATCCAGCCTGCGGCGCCCCAACCCTAAAAACCCTAAACCCTATAAGCCCTAAACCCTATAAACCCCTAAACCCTATAAACCCAAACCCTATAAACCCCGAACCCCTTAAACCCTAAACCCTTCATCTGTAGGGTGTTGACAGTGGTAAATGTGGGTGGGTAGGGGAGGCAATGGCCATCGAGTCTGTGACGGGCTGCTTCCCTAAACCCTAAACCCTAAACCCTAAACCCTATACCCTATGATTTCATGGTAGGGGAGACATGACTGAAATGGCAAGGGAACCCAAGGTTTGTGATGTAGGGCTTAGGGTTTAGAGCTGGGCTTAGGGTTTAGGGTTTAGGGGTTTAGAGGTTTAGGGGTTTAGGGGTTTAGGGTGTCTTGAGCTAACGTGTTCGGCTGTTAATTGGAGACTGGTCGATGTCGCTACCGCTTGAGCACTGAAAAACACATGAATCGGAGAACTCATGCTCCCGGCATTCCAAACCTACAACCCTATATGGTTTAATTTGCTCCTATACTGACCCTAAGTCCTGAACCCTAAAAGCCAGTGGCACTTTCAAATCGCCAAAGCAATGCGTGTGTGTGCGCCATTGGTGGCTGGACAAGGAGCGCATGGTCTTTTGTAACATATACCCTGGGCTTCTGCATGTCGTGTAGATAGGATTCCCCGAATATCCTCAGAGGCTGTAAAACCCAGGGCCCTGGACCCCAAACCCTAGGGTTTAGGATTTAGGGCTTACATATGGGTTTAGGGTTTAGGGTTTACATATGAATTGAAACGCATTCTAATTATGGCATGATGGAACCAAGCCCGCCTTGAATGTCTCTGGCGACTGGTATCTGGGATCGCCCGAGCAGAAATCGGTGTCAGCCTCGACCTGCTAGGTTTAGGGGTTAGGGATGCTTTGGTGCTTTGGGCCCCTTCTTCTTTAAACAATAATGGCTTTTTGCAGCTAAGCTGCAAAACCCTAATTTCAACCTTAAACCCTTAAACCCTAGAAGGGATTGAAGCTTAGGGCTTTGGTGCGCGCTTAACCTCACAGCTGGAGCAGTTGCAGCAAAGGGGTTAAGGCAACAGCGGTGCCGGGTCTCTTGCCTGCGAGGTTCAGGGTCTAGTGTGTGGGGTCCAGGTCTAGTGGTCATAGTGTTACGTGATTCCTCAATCCTTGAACTGCACGGATGCCCAAACCGCAGAGAGTCGAAACAATGACCCTACAATGAGTCGAACCTACGGACACAACCAAAACCCTAGAAGTGTTGCTATGATTCTTATCTGTCGGTGTGCAAGTTTAAGTAGGCTTTGTATACTTTCTAGCGGCAATACACATGCATGCATATGAATGTGTATGTATGTATGTATGTATGTATGTATGTATGTATGTATGTATGTATGTATGTATGTATGTGTATATATATATATATACGTGTGTATATATATATATATACGTGTGCATATATATATATATGTATACACATACCAGTACGTACATACATTCATACATACACCCCAAATGTTGTGCCGGTGGCTTGCAAATCATGTTTGCGTTGCTTTTGAATGCCACCCCAAAGTCGAAGCCCTGCCAAGTTTGGTCCGTCCTGCTCTGGGTTCAAGGACCACGCATCAAAGCTTTTTTTTGACACCTTTTTCCAACTGCTGAGCTAGTCTCACAGCTAGAGCCCTAGTAGGCACTCATCAAAGCTTTAGGGTCTAGGGTGGGCTTGCTTTGAAGTCTCTGCTGTGTAGCGGGAAGACGGCTGAGAGTTCAGGGCTTTTTGGCTTTAGGGCACTTTAGGTTCAGGGTAGCGACGGCCAGTCAATCATAGTCGAGCCTAGAACGCAAACACCCCAAGCCACTAGCGCCAAGAAACACAACACCTTATCTAGCATAACCCCAGGTCTTGCCGGGCCTTGGCGCACCCAAAGTCTGTGATGGTGACCCAGGGGACTTGATCAGGATGTGCAGGATCAAACCTCGTGGGCGAGAGTAGGACCCTAAACCGCAAACCCTAAACCCCTAAACCCTTTTGCAACTGGCCTGCTGCGACTCTGCCAGGACGAACACTGAACCACAACCACTAGACCCTAAACCCCTAAACCCCAAAACCCTAGGCTTTCCAGGTTCAGTCCAGTCCGTGTGATGAAGCATCGAAATTTCAAGTCGAGGGCTGCCAAACCCCAGAAACTCATCAAACTTTAGTAGCGGCTAGGCAGCATGAGCAAGCAACTGTTAAACAAACCTAATATTGCTGAAGCCAATGTCCAGCTAGTTGAAAAGGGCACCCGTTTAAGGATTCGTCAAAGATCGACCCACAGCTGAAAGCACAGACATCGAACCCCAGCACAGAGTCTGCAGTCGGATGGATAGGATCAAGGGCTCTGATCTGCACTAAGGTGCGCACGCTGCCCCCAGGGCATCCAATAATTATCGCAGGTTGAAAATGAGGCATGAAGCTTAGGTTTATCTTTGTTTTAAGATGAAAAGGTGTGCAAAATCACGAAGCTTAGGTTTTTGTTTGTTTTAAGATGAAAAGGTGTGCTAAATCATGAAGCTTAGGTTTATGTTTGGTTTAAGAAACAAAGGTATGCTAAATCCCATTGCGCCACTCTTTCATGCACAAGAGGTTCTCCGGCTTCAGGTCGTTGTGCACGATTCTCTCGCCTTACGCTGTCAGGTCGGCGGCGAGAGCGTTCCTACGAGCCATAAATCTACTCATTCTACTAATGTTACGAGTTCGAAGAAGGCAATCTAGACTTTGGACTGCTCTGGTTATGATTTTATCACAATACTGCTTATTCTTGCTCTTGTTCGTGCATTCTATTGCTACTACTATTGGCTACCGATAATACCGGCATGCATGCTAGTCTTGAAATCCACTGCCCTGCACACCCGCCGTGGTAATCGTTGTCATGGTGGCAGTACCAGCATAAGGGAAAAAAGCGAGTTGTGTCATCGGGCGGAACTGGTAACATCCTTCAGATTGCTACTATGATTTACAACCTATGATCAGAATCGACGCACGCATTACGGCTCTTCTTGATCTTATGAAACTTGAGTGCTTGATGACAAAACAACGATCTCTCACAGCAGCAGCTTCAGAAGCCTTGATTCTGGTCGTGTTTGTGGCTTCAGCCTCGTCATTGTCGCTGTGTTCGGTGGGAACTCATAATCATAGCAATGCTTCTCATTTCTCACCTCAGGCTCTCCGTGCGAGCAGCTTGCCAGCAGCTCTAAGCTGCAGGCCCCACATGGTGGGAAAAGCTCAAGTGTAGGTGCTAAAAGCTGCTGAAACGTATCGGCTTCGGTATACTAAGCTGCATCTACTGGAATCCGTGGGTATTCCGTCGTCCATCGCAGCCGTTAGGTTTTTCCGTAACTACGGTAGTCATCTAGGCTACGAGAGAAAATCCCAAAGATTTTGGACAAAGCTTGAACAAATTCTGTTCCAAGACGTCTCCACAGCGCCTCAGTACTTCGGTGGGGCGCTGCTAGGGGCCCGGCTGTGAAGATATGAGACTCCCAGCAAGACGTGGCGGAAAACCTCCGGAGAGCAGGACAATGCAAATCCAGTTCAAACAACAGCAAACCCCGGGAAAATGGAGATGCTGCTTGCAAACAATATCTCTTACGACTTCTGATGCAACATCCACCGAACCCTAATTTGCCTGTTCAAGCTGTTCAGGCCCCTCTAGCACTGCTGTGAATCCCCGGCAGCTTTACAGCTTCATGCCCGCTTGCTGGATGTCAAAACCGGCAGCCTCCTTTTTTGCAGCAGGCTTTCCCACTTCACTCTAAATCCTAAGCAACAACTATGTGCCACAGTCTCGATCGAGCCGAAGCCCTTCGGGTTGCAGAGGACTCAGGGGGCCGGATTTGTCGAAGCTTCGGGGCGGGTGTGGGGTGCTATAGTCATGCTGAAAAGTTGAATTCGAAACTTTGAAATATTTCCTGCTTTCGAACACGCACTCGGGCCGATGCGTGTGACAGGAAGTAGTTCCAAAATCCTAAAACCCCGTAACCCTAACTAAACCCTAAGCACTATCAATCCACCAGACCCAGGGTCTCGTAGGAATAGTCCGGGAACTGTGCTGTATTGGTGCTACAAGGCCTGCCTGACCTTATGAACCCTAACATCCCAGGAGATACAGCAGTCGCACAGGAATAGTTAAAGGAAGCTACAGGTGGGGAGTTTAGGGTATGTAAGGCTTCTAGGGCTTCTAGAAGGTATATAGACCTTCCATAAGGCTCCTATACCGGTAACTACCCACCTCAAAATGTCCTAGAAACAGATTGCTTCGTGTTGCTAGGTGTTGCAAGGTGCTTCGTCAAGTCTTGCATCCCAGAAGCCGACAGAATGTAATTTAGGGGCCTTCATAATCGGATCACGAAGCTACGGGATATTTTAATAGTGTATTGATATGAAGACACCAAAGGGATACTCTAGCTCATTGTTCCGGCACCTATCTTAGAGGCTGCAAGGATCATGCGACGACGAAGCTTTATGGTTTTTTGGCCCCACACTGATTCTGAAATACTGTGTGCCTAAACCCTGAACCCCACCAGCCTGGAGAGAAGACCTAAACACATCCTTCGCCCTTAAAGGAACCCTGAAAGGAGCCCTTCAGAAATCTCTAAAGGAGCCCTTCGCGGCGGCGCCTGCGCGACCCAAGCCTCCGTGATAGAGCTCGCGGCATTGTGCCGGATCCTTGGCAAAAAACATGTACAAAAATAGGTTGTTGCATGCTATAATATACTATAAGACTCTAGGGTTTAGGGTTTAGGGCTTATAAGACTATAAGCACAATATAACATGTACATACATAGAATACTATATCTCATATTACTGTAAGTCGCTCACGAAAGACTTTGGTCTGAAAAGCTTCGGCATACTCTTCTCCTTGATTGGACATTTTGACGGAAGTTTTGGGGTGTGTACTACTTTAGGGGTTTAGGGTTTAGGGTTTAGGGTTTTAGGGTTTAGGGTTTAGGGTTTAGGGTGTGTACCACCTGGCAAAACATGAACAGCTGGAGATGCCGAACCCCCGCACCGTGATGCCCTAGGCACTGAAACCTTGCCGTCCATGGATACTGCCCTGTAGGCTTTTGGGTACAAAAACCGGACCAAAACACACACAGACAAACCTCGATGCCTCAAGCCCAGAACTTCAACCTCTGTAGCGCGAGGCCCTGGACATGATAAAGTCTGCTTTCGACCCCCTTTTGCGCAATCATAACGAGACAACCGGGCGAAGGGGTGCCAGGTTTTACGGTTTTTGGCCCTAAAGTCAAAAGCCCGAAACTCGAGATCATCGAGGCTCCAAGGAACTTCGATCAAGGTTCCAACTCTTACGCCTCGGAAATTCGTGTTTGGGGGCTCATCCCCAGTGAAGCCCAAGCGACATGCTCTGCATGTAGTTGAAGAGGTCTCCACCCACCTGCAGCACGCATCTGAGAGTGGGGTATGGGCCTACGGGCCATGCTCCGAGCCAGTGATCAGTTCAGACTTTGGCACTGAGGGGTTGTGTATGCGGAGGATGCAGTAGATCACGAATTAAAGCTGTGAACAAGGGCCTTTGCAATGAGAACAGGGTGTTGCGGGTATATCTTAATAGGGCTGGATACCGTTTCAAGCTTTTCCGACGCGATGTTACGCAGTAGATGGCGTCTTCATGAGGCTGGACGTAGTGATGTCCTTGGCCTTCTGTTGCTGGCGGTTGAAGGAGGGTTGAGCGGTGCGTCGGCATTTCGTCGTAGGTATGACCGTGGTTGCCGGAGGCTGTCGGCGCTTCTGCATACCTGCATAGTAGCATATACTAGCCCCCCCGAGCTTCAAGACCGATCTCTCATCCCTGCCCGAGCCAATTCAAACTGGGCTTCCGGACCGCATGCTCGTAAACGACGTAGAGGCACTCCTTCCATTTGCCAGCACTTCCGGCTTGTGAATGCAGGGCCCAGGACTCTCATACTACCGCTGTTGCAATTTCCGGAGGAACTTCGACTTGCAACGTGTCTCAAGATCTCCCTGTCTACACCACAACTCAAGCCTAGAGGCTTCCGGCCCAGACATACGAAAAAACAGCAAAGAGATTGCGATAGATGCCGTTCAAACCCCACATACCCAAGAACCCTCTGGAGGTCCCAAAGATCACCCCATGAGCCCAACATGCGCACAGGACTGTGACGGGAGCAGGATTTGCACCGCAGCACACGCCTGCACTGACACGTGCGGCACATTGTGGCTAGCAGCTAGAACAGGAGCCGCACCCCATCGCACTTCTCCAGGCCGAAAGAAACACAATAAGCCGTAATTAGTACCTTAAAACCCCAAGCCCGAAACCCTGCGGCGAAAGCCGGAAGGGAAGGAATTTCATTCTCCTAAAGAATGGACCATAGAGAACTTTTGGAGTCTGTTGTGTATGTCTGGATTGTTCAGGAACTACATGTACGTTACCATAATAGCGAAACCCCACTATGTACTACATATAGACCCCTGTTTTGGTAATTTCAATTACCCATAGTCTCCATTGTAGTTCTTTTTTTGGTTTAACCAAATATATATATACAAAGGAATTTATAAGGTATCCCCCAAAATGAACTACAATGGAGACTATAGGTAAGCCCCTAAACCGCTAAACCCTAAGCCCCCAAACCCCAAACCTAAGAACATGAACCCTAAACCCTAAACCCTATAAGCCCTAAACCCTCAGTTACGAAACCCCACTATGTATTACATATAAACCCCTATTTTGGTAATTTGAATTAAACTCCAAGGACCTAAGTTTCCGCTGCCCGAGACCCGGCGGCACCTTCCAAGTGCCGTCCTCGGGCACCCGTCCCTCCAGCAACTCGACGACCTCCGCCGGAAAGGCCACGTTTAGGGTTTAGGGTTTAGGGTCATTTAAGTTTAGGAAGGCCAATCAACCCCAAGCGCTGCAACCGTTAACACAGGTTTGGTTTAGGGTTTAGGGTTTAGGGTATGCCGGTTGAGGCGTTTAGGGTTTATTGAAAACCCTCAACCCCTTTTTGAGCATTTGAGTTTCGGGTATGGCGCTTGAGGTGTTTAGGCTTTACTGAAAACCCGAAGCCTTTTTTCACAAGGGACTCGACTGC